CCTGCTGAAGATAATCTGATGTTTGTTTATTTATAATATTACGTATTGATTGTTTGTGTGTAAGCTTCAGATAACTCAAGGTACAGTGCATCTCTTTATTTGAAGAGCTTTAGGAATATGATTGACATTTTTCTATATTTTCAATAAAGTTCTGCCTGTGATGAAAGGGGTAAAGAGTTTTTTATTTCTCTCTCAAGACTGTTATCTGTGTGAACCTAATATGTAGCAACAAAGAGATAAGATGTTTAGAGATCATCCAAAGTTACTGATTGGTCAGAATGAAGGCTCTTTATAACCATGTAACATCCAATTATTGTAAAATAAAGTGAACAGCGACCCTATAAGTGTCTCCTGCATTCCTCTTATCTTTTGAATGCAAGTTCTCCCACTATAATAGTCTTTCAATGTACCTACTATTCAAAGAATCTCCTCTGTAAAATTTGAGCTGCTGTTCTATTTGGAAGTAGATACATATCTCAATTGCTATTTTATACCTGAGCTGTGAGCACAGAAACGATGCATCACCTGATGGGCATTTGGCATCTTAGCTGTGGCATAACTAGGGCTAGAAATCCTAGCATTTCAAACTCCTGGTTTCACTTTAACCAACTATCAAGTCACATCGTTTCTTCTTGTGTCAAAGGAGCTGATATTATATGTAAAATGGTTTTTCATTTAACATTGTCCTATCATATCTACATTTGAAATTAACTAATTCCCTCAGGGTAAACTCAAAGGAAGTGTTATAGCTATTTAATATGCTGAAAATCCGAAATTGGGGAATTTCCAGAGTTTTTATTACTGGTGGGTAATTATGTTCTCTGCACAGATTCATATTATCTATACTTAGCTGGCCTTCTAACCTAACTTTATTTAATCTTGTTTAATTAGAAACTTATAAAATCTATAATTGGGTACGCATTCTATTTTTCCTTACAGCTAAATTCCCAAGTTTTGCTCAGATTATGAGAAAATTAAACACACATACACACACACACACACACACACATACACACACATAAACACACACATCCTACATACAGCAAAAATTATTATTAGAAGAATGGAAGCAATTAAAAGTTGTTTTTACTTAAACAAAGTTCACAAGTATACCATGGAGCATCTTGGGTAAATAATCCATTTCCAAGACAACTGTCATGAATGACTTGAAGTATTATTTCAAAATATAGAAATAATAATCTTGGGAAAAAATCTTCCAAATTATCTATAAGCTTACACAAATTGACTATTTGAAAGGAGATTTCTTTTCCTCATTAGACGCATCTAAATGTTAATGGGTTGTAGATAACTAGTAAGTCAAAGTGGACAATAAAAGTCTGGAAGAATTGTAGAATGTTCTTTTTTGCTTTTCTTCGAGGTTCTGCATCATAGGTTTCAAAGACCACCAGGACTGAATTCAGAAGTAATTTTCTGCTGCTATTCTATTGTTCACTGAATTAATACGTTTTGTTTGGCAAAATAAAAACATTTAACATTATACTTTAGGAACATTGACCCCAAAATATTTAGCAAGCAGCGTGCATTCAACTGAAATTCTGATTGGAAACAGATAAATTAAACTGCCCCTGATGAAATACTAAAGATCATTATCACAAAGTTTTATTTTAAATGTTCAGAATTAGCTTTATTGCTGCATCAGTAATGATAAGCATGAGCCTTAAACTCATACCATTTAGGTTTTATGAGCATTATTATAACATTAACCATAATTCAATTAGTTTACAGAAAAAGCCGTTCCATATTTTTTTCCCTCGCTCTTAAGGTGCTACATAAGGAAGCCCAAACCATATTCCTATAGAGCATGTTCTATTTATTTCACACTTATTCCTCATTCCTCTTTCATGGATCTTCAAAATATTCACTATTTTCAGGTAGGTAAATGTGCTAAAGGAAAAACACGGCTATTTCGTTGCCACACCTTTGCATCATTAGGACAATACTGACCTCTAGTGTTTTAGGAAGTAGAGAAACTAACTCAGCGCTGTGCCTAACTTCCTCTTACTGAACCACTTAGTTGTTTTTCTAAAGCACCATGGGAACAATTTTACTTAAAAAAAGAAAAAAAGGAGGAGGAGGGGCTGGAGGATGTGGGGACAGGAGGAAGAGGAGAGAAACAGCAGATTCTTCCCTGTCTCTCCCTATTCTCTGAAATAATTTCTGAACTAAGGCCCTTTGGCTCCTCCTTTTTAAAGAGGTTGACCTCTTCAGAACTCCCTTAGAATACAAACTTTAATAAAATCTTTATAACACACTTCCACTAACTATCGATTTTGGATCCCCCAAACTTCCAATCACAGATAGAAACACTGGCTCAGCTTTGGACCATTCTCAGTAAAGAACATTTATCTAAGTTTCTTCCTTTGAGGTATAACCCTCGATTAAGTATCTCTTTCTTAAGGTCCTCTTGGACCTAAGAGGGTGGGAAGTGAGGTAGAGAAACTTGTAAGTAGTCTTCCTACCCTTCTTTAACAGTGATGGTTCAGAGTCCAAAAAAAAAAAAAAAGTATCAAAACTGTTCCAATACGGTTAGATATTTCTGAGAGTCATGGTGGGGGTTAGCAGATAAGGGAGCACGCCCAGAAGCTTGAGGAACCTTGATAAACCATCTTTGGAAACAACACAGACGGCTTAATTGCATTCTTTCTCATTTAAGAGTTTCCAGAGCTGGAAAAACTTCCCTTTCTCTGCCTAGAGAGGCAGCTGAGCAATTGAGCTTGAACCTCTGATGGCTCCAGAGATTTATTCGAGTTTGACAAACTAGGTTCTTTAAATACACAGTGCAGGTGGCACATCCCCAGGTGTCCAGCCTTCCTGCCTATTAAATTAAATGTCCTGCACTTGCCGAGGTTAGAGCTTGGACGACAAAGTGTACACTTAGTGCATACTCATTATGCGTTCTTTGGCACAAAGAGTTTGGGGGTGGAGTGCGCATCAAAGCTCTTCCTCCTATAACAGGGTCAGCCATTGATCTTGTGGTTTGACTACATCGGGCCATGACTCTTAGGCCCAAACTCCCAACCCTATTAAACCGATGACCATTGGTTGCAAGATACCCCAACTGGAGCCTTGTGCCTAGGAGAAAGCTGAAAGCCATGGATTGTGAGGCACTGGGCATACTACAAATCCGAGCGAGGCAGCCGCATTCAGAAATGAGCCTCTGTCACCGAGTGTGGTGGCTGTGAGCATCTCTGACTCTGGAAGCTCAGCCCCCAGTGCATCCAGTCTGAACCGGGGGCCCTGCTCGGGAAAAGCCCCGGCTGAGACCAGGCAGGCAGAGAACGCGGAGCCGACGGGAGGCGGAGGGTAGAGAACCTTCCCTTCTCCCCCGAACTTTGCGATTCGGGGAGAAGGGCAGGAAATCCAACGGGGCCGGCTCCTTCGAGCTCTGCTAACTTTTGGGATGGTTAGAGTGATAGAAACACACCAATCAGCATTTTTCCCCCCTTCCCTTCTGCTCAGAGCAGACACAATTGAACACGCTTGGATAGTTGAGTGTCTTTCCAAACGCCAGCGTTTCCCACCTCACCTACCCGCCCCCAGCTCCTGGAACTCACAATTTGCCGCTGTTAATCCTAAATGCCACAAGCCGGAGAAGAACAAAGTGAAAACGCTGGTCAGCCGTAGTCCAGAATCCATTTCCCCCGAGTAAGAGGTCCCTCCCAATCGAATCTCAAATTCGCAGGCGCCAGCCGCGGCTTCTTCTTTCTTTCTCTGTCTCTCTCTTTCTTCTCTGCACCGCCTGACCCCTTCCCACCCCCCTTGGAGAGGCACTCGCGGCTTCACTCCATCCCGTGCCCAAACGCTCTACGGAAACCGTGGCGGGGGCTTCTCCGGAGCTGCGGAAGGAGGTACTGTCCCCGCAACGGCCGCCGGCAGCACTCGCCTTCCTCGCTCGCCTCTTCCTCCTCGGCCCCCTCCTTAAAGGTCCAAATCCCGGCCCGACGCAAAGGCAGGCGCCGAGCTCGCTCAACCGCCGACTGCACCTCGTCGGCAGCTAGAACTGGAATCAGCACCCGGGCGGCGGACAGCTCCTTATAGGCGAGCGTGGCGCGCGGCGCCGCCCCCGGCCAGGCCCGCCCCTCGCTCTCGGGTAGGAGCGGCCTGGGCGGGTCTTCACCCGGCTCCGGCGCCTTCCAACCTGGCCGGCCGGCGCTGCGGTGCGCGCCGGCCAGTTGGAGGGGACCGGGGAGGGAGCGCACATTTCCATCTCTGCCTCCGTCTCTTTGGCTTCCCCTCCCTCTCCGCCCCGCAATGTGTGTGTGGGGGGAGTGCATAAAGGCATCGAAATTTAAACCAGGTTTTCGAAGAACGAGGCTAAAGGGTTACTAAAAGGAGTTGGAACACAGAACGCATTAGCAAGAGGGAATTTCCCATGGAAAGCTTAGCATAGGAGATGCTTTTTTCTTTTTTTGAGAGGAGAGGGAAGACTTAACTATTGAATTACGCGATTGAACTTCCCCCGTGTTTGTTCTCTAGGTTGGAAGGCTAGCGGGTATTGGTAATATTGGGATTTCTGATCTAGCGGTTTAACGTGGTCCCGACCCCGCCCCCAGCTCCCACCTCCGGTGGCTCAACCTTTCACGGCGGACCACGTCTGCGTCTCCCTCCCAGCTTCTGGCCTGTAGCTTTGGGCAAGTACTGCAAGGTGTTTGGTGCTTTCGGTTCCGGAGCCCAGGAGGTTCCTGGCGTCTGAGAGAGACGGGGAGACAAATTGGGTATGGTTATGATGAGAGTCAGGGTGGTCCTGGCTGGCTCATAGCATTAGAGATCTGAAAGCTCCTCTGGAGCGGTCTAAATTAAAATGCGGGAAAGGAGTAGTTTTGGTTTCTTCCTAGAAGCTCCCTGTTAGAAACCCTGGTTTTGTCTTTAGCTTCTAGTTTGCATCTGGGGACTCTCCTGCTTGACCATAAATCAACTTATTTTGTTTTTATTGAAGGTGTCAGAAAGTTGTCAAACCTTAACAAAATGAGGGGCCATAATGATTTCTATGTGAAGCTTACAATCAAGTTAGGGATGGAGTCACTTCAGAGGAAGCTGATGTCTCCCGCCCCATTTCCCTCAGCAGCAACAAATATGCAGACTTATTTTACACTGTAGATTCCTGACAACTCTTGGTCCTCAGCTGCCAGCTGCACAGCTACAGCAGGTTGAGCTGGGATTCAAGCAGCTTCTGCGTGAATCCTGAAGTTAACCTTGTGGTTTTGGTTAGAGCTGGACTCATATCATTGGAATATTAATCGATAGTTGAATGAGAAGGGAATAGAATTCTGAGGTCATCTCACTTGTAAGTAAAATATCCTCTTGTCTCTAAGCTTCTAACTGAAAATAATCGTGTTAGTTACTAGATTCTTGGACAACCAGAATAATTCTCCAGCACAGGCTGTAGCTGTGGGAGAAAAGATGGTGAATCACAAAATATCAAAGCGGAGGTGAGCCAAGAAACTGCCCTGTTGGCAGGGACCAGAGTGAGGAGGGGGCTGAAGTCCCAAGTCTAGTGGCTTGGGCTTGCCTTCTCCTACTGAGGGCCCTGAGGGGCTGCCTCCCCACCCCTGGCTTTTGAGGATCTCAGGTTTAAAGACACTTATGTGGCTACCTTAATCATACTTGAGAGTCTAGAAAAGCTAGGAACCATTATCCAGATTTGTATGTTCTTTAACATTTAAACGGCTTTAAAATAAATAAAATATTAAAAATATAATTTAAGTCCCTTTTGCATTCTTGCCTGATCCCATTGGTGTCCCACCATACCTAGAAGTAAACATTTCTTTTCCATTCCTGTTCATTATGTTTTTATACTTTTACCAAAAATATATGCATCCCTAAACAATTTATAGTATTATTTTTATTGTCTTTAACCAATATATAAATGTCATCATACCAATACTTTTTCATTTTGCACCTTGCAATTTACTCAACTCAACATTTTATATATATACATACGTATATGTATGTATATATATATGTGTATATATATATATACACACACACACACGTATGTATTTAATTTATGACTTGGATACAGGTAGTCATAATTATTTCATTTTAACTACTGTATTATATTTTATTTTATGAATATGCCACAATCGATTCATTAATTCATCTGTTTATGAATCTATAGATTATTTCCAGGTTTTTTTCCTCAATATAAACTATAAAATCTTGTACCAGTATCTTAGTCTTTCTCAACCATGTACTTAGGACTAGAGTTTCTGGATTGTAGGAAAGGCTTTTCTTCAGCTTTAATAGGTATTGCCAGTTGCTTTATAAACAGATGTTACCAATTCATACCCCCCTCCAGTAGTGTGTGAGATTTCCCTCAGCTCCACATACTTACCAGCATTTCAAGACCTCTCTTTTTATAAATGGGAAAATGCTTTCAAAGAACACAGGTCGGGCTTCCTTGGTGGCGCAGTGGTTGAGAGTCCGCCTGCCGATGCAGTGGACACGGGTTCGTGACCCGGTCCGGGAAGATCCCACATGCCGCAGAGCGACTGGGCCCGTGAGCCATGGCCACTGAGCCTGCGCGTCCGGAGCCTGTGCTCCGCAACGGGAGAGGCCACAACAGTGAGAGGCCCGCGTACCGCAGAAAAAAAAAAAAGAACACAGGTCTTTGTTCACTGAGCTTAATGCTCCACTACATCATCCTACTTACTATACTTTTCCAAAAAATGTTTAGTTAAATATTTCAAAAGTTATGGAAGATGTTGGTTTCATTTTCTGACAGGATGCCTTGAATCCATGTGTGTCAGTAAAAGGTGCTTGGAATATACATTAAAAGACAATCAGGGAAATTTTTTTACACGAAGCCCCAAAACTGTGAATGATCTTCACGTTATTAGTAAATATTGGAACTCTGCATTTAGTTGTCCATATACAGACTTAGTGTATAGTATATAAATTGCACCTCATTTAAAATCCTGTTTACAGTTGTAGCTTTTTTTCTCTCTCTCAAACACACCTGTTCTCAGAGCAAATTTAAGCCTTCAAGAGCAGACATTTGTCTAAGATTTGTTAACATTTCAATATGAATACTGCAGCTCTGAATGTAGCAGGGATAAACAGCTGTTCCTTTTTGACAATAGTGTAAACAATGCCATCTTCTGGGGGCATTTTGCCAGCAAGTTTTTATTAGCTGTAGAATATTAATCACTATTAAAACTGTTTACAGCCAGATTGATATTTACCTATTGAAATTCTTTTGTAAACCTTTTAGTCTGATAAATCCACGTTTTGAGTGGTGGAATAGAATCTAAATAATCTCCCTTTCCCTCCATGTTGCTTGATACAGAAGAATAAGTCATACTTTCAGAGCACTTTGTTTTGAAGAGGGTTAAAAATTCTGTATAGATAGAGCAGAATGGTTGCTAATGGGGAATTGGGACAAACGAATAATTGAAATCCTCAAATGTCTACATTTAAAAATGATAAATTTTCCCTTGAGTGTTCCCACTTCTTTCCCCTTAAGAGAGCAGAAGGTTGTCATTTGTCAACTGGAATCTTAGCTTTTGAATATTCAACAAGTTGTTTAAATCATTGATTTTGGAATCCTCCTGTGAGACATATGGAAGTTATGTTTTGTAATCTCTATTTTATAGATGTGATCCTAAGAGGAGACAGATATTGATATATTAAGTATCATACAGACTTAATGGCCTCAACGCATATGACACTTGAAAATTAAAACCTCCCATTCTATTTCCTTTATCTTTACAAAACTAATAGGTAAAAATCACTGTGATATATGGATACCTGGTATGGATGGGAGAAGAGTCTGCATCGGTCACTATAGACAATTCTGCATATCACTACTGTGGGATTATTTCAACTTCACATATCATGGTTTGTTGCAAATGTTGAAGGGTGGCTTCTGTTGCCACCCATGTCTTCAAAATAGACTTTTAAAAAGTATTGATGAGGCAGAAAGTTAAATTATTTTTCTTTTCATGCTTTCTTCTTCTTTTAAATGTTTTAATATTTCTCTCTCTCTTTTTTTTTTTTTTGATTTGTTTTGTTTTCCCTTTTTATAGTTTGTATCCAGTACTACACTATACCTGTGGGGTGGAGGGAATGAGAAAAAAATGCCTGTTCTCATGGAGCTAAAAAATGATTGGAGAAAATATGATGTTAACACATTAAAAATTGAGATAACAATACAAATTAGCATGTGATTAAGTGTCACATAATAAATGCTATAGGAGTTTCTAACTTGACAAAGATTTCTTCCTCTTGGAAGGAAAACTTAACAGTTGGCATAATGAAGTGGTTCTTTGTCTCTTTGGGGTTAAAGGAATTTGAGTCACCCTGGGCCATGAAGATTTGTTATTCAAGTCAGATTAGGTCAGGTGTATTTGCCTTAATAAGAAAGTTGAATCTTAGAATAATGAACGCAGAATTGAACTTTTGCAGAAGAGCGGACTGTTCTATTAGAGCAAATGGACTTCAGCCAGATGTTGAGAATAATTCACCTGAGCCTCTCCCCCACTCCTTCTCTCTCCTAATTCTACCTCAGACTCAGTCTTGTCACCACGAGCTCATCCTTGACATCAAAATGAGTCATCTTCTATCATGTATCTCCTGCAAATAGAGCAACCCTTTAAATACCTTTACCTGAGATGCAAGTTTCTCAGCTGGTAATA